CTGTGTTAGCCTTATACACATCCCGGGCATTCTTCAATTCCTTTACTGTGTTAGCCTTATACACATCCCGAGCATTCTTCAATTCCTTTACTATGTTAGCCTTATACACATCCTGAGCATTCTTCAATTCCTTTACTGTGTTAGCCTTATACACATCCCGAACATTCTTCAATTCCTTTACTGTGTTAGCCTTATACACATCCCGAACATTCTTCAATTCCTTTGCTGTGTTAGCCTTATACACATCCTGAGCATTCTTCAATTCCTTTACTGTGTTAGCCTTATACACATCCTGAGCATTCTTCAATTCCTTTACTGTGTTAGCCTTATACACATCCTGATCATTCTTCAATTCCTTTACTGTGTTAGCCTTATACACATCCTGAGCATTCTTCAATTCCTTTACTGTGTTAGCCTTATACACATCCCGATCATTCTTCAATTCCTTTACTGTGTTAGCCTTATACACATCCTGAGCATTCTTCAATTCCTTTACTGTGTGCTTATACCATCGAGCATTCTTCAATTCCTTTACTGTGTTAGCCTTATACACATCATTGAACATTCTTCAATTCCTTTACTGTATTGGCCTTATACATCTGAGCATTCTTCAATTCCCTTTACTGTATTAGCCCTTATACACATACAAATTCTACAATTCACTGCTGAATTAGCCTTATACACATCCTCAACATTCTTCAATTCCTTTACTGTGTTAGCCTTATACATATCCTGAGCATTCTTCAATTCCTTTACTGTGTTAGCTTATACACATCCTGAGCATTCTTTAATTCCTTTACTGTGTTAACCTTTCACACATCCTGAGCATTCTTCAATTCCTTTACTGTGTTAGCCTTATACACATCCTGAGCATTCTTCAATTCCTTTACTGTTAGCCTTATACACATCCCGAGCATTCTTCAATTCCTTTACTGTGTTAGCCTTATACACATCCTGAGCATTCTTCAATTCCTTTACTGTGTTAACCTTATACACATCCTGAGCATTCTTCAATCCCTTTACTGTTTTAGCCTTATACACATTCCGAGCATTCTTCAATTCCTTTACTGTGTTAGCCTTATACACATCCTGAGCATTCTTCAATTCCTTTACTGTGTTAGCCTTATACACATCCCGAGCATTCCTTAATTCCATTACTGTGTTAGCCTTATACACATCCTGAACATTCTTCAATTCCTTTACTGCGTTCACCTTATACATATCCTGAGCATTCTTCAATTCCTTGACTGCGGTAGCCTTATACACATCCTGAGCATTCTTCAATTCCTTTACTGTGTTAGTCCTATACACATACTGAGCATTCTTCAATTCCTTTACTGCGTTAGCTTTATACACATCCTAAGAATTCTTCAATTCCACATCACCAGGCATTCAATTCCCTTTTACTGTATACACATCCACAGGCATTCTTCCCAATCCCTTGCTGTTTTAGCCTTATACACATCCGAACTTCTTCAATTCCTTTACTGTATTAGCCTTATACATCCTGAACATTCTTCCATTTCTTTACTGCGTTAACCACATCCTGAATTCCACAATTCCTTTGTTATACACATCGAACATTCTTCAATTCCTTTACTGTATTAGCCATACACATCCTGAGCATTCTTCAATTCCTTACTGTGTTAGCCTTATACACATCTAGACATTCTTCAAAATTCCTTTGTGTTAACCTTATACATCCCACCAGACATTCTTCCAATTCCTTTAGCCTTATACATCATTCCTTCAATTCCTTTACTGTATTGCTTCCATCCTATGACACTCTTCAATTCCTTTTACTGTTATATACATCACAAGGCATTCTTCAATTCCCTTTACTGTATTGTATACACATCCCGAGCACTCTTCAATTCCTTTACTGTGTTAGCCTTATACACATCCCGAGCATTCTTCAATTCCTTTACTGTGGTAGCCTTATACACATCCTGAGCACTCTTCAATTCCTTTACTGCGTTAGCCTCATACACATCCTGAGCATTCTTCAATTCCTTTACTGTGTTAGCCTTATACACATCCCAAGCATTCTTCAATTCCTTTACTGCGTTAACCTTATACACATCCCAAGCATTCTTCAATTCTTTTACTGTGTTAGCCTTATACACATCCTGAGCATTCTTCAATTCCTTTACTGTGGTAGCCTTATACACATCGAGCACTCTTCAATTCCTTTACTGTGGCATATACATCCCGACATTCTTCAATTCGCTACTGTGTTAGCCTTATACACATCCCGAGCATTCTTTAATTCCTTTACTGTGTTAGCCTTATACACATCCCGAGCATTCTTCAGTTCCTTTACTGTGTTAGCCTTATACACATCCTAAGCATTCTTCAGTTCCTTTACTGTGTTAGCCTTATACACATCCTGAGCATTCTTCAATTCCTTTACTGTGTTAGCCTTATACACATCCCAAGCATTCTTCAATTCCTTTACTGTGTTAGCCTTATACACATCCCGAGCATTCTTCAATTCTTTTACTGTGTTAGCCTTATACACATCCCGAGCACTCTTCAATTCTTTTACTGTGTTAGCCTTATACACATCCCGAGCATTCTTCAATTCCTTTACTGTGGTAGCCTTATACACATCCTGAGCACTCTTCAATTCCTTTACTGCGTTAGCCTCATACACATCCTGAGCATTCTTCAATTCCTTTACTGTGTTAGCCTTATACACATCCCGAGTAATCTTAATCAAGGTATCTCTAGAACAGGTCAGTAATTTAATAGATGTACATGGAAATATAACCCAGTTTATATACATTTCACTGGCTGCTGCTTGATTTTGCTATTTAAACTTTGATAAATTTCAATAGAGACTCTGCTTACACGTGGCTAGCAAACCAATTTGTGAGACTCTCACGCAGACCAAGAAGTGATGTTATCCCTTCTGTAAGTAAATAAATCTGTGCATGATGTTATTTTATCTCTACGCTACTGGTTCGGACCTAAAACATTATACCCCTTCTAAAACAGATTAACAAAATTATGAAATTAACATATTAAAGGAATGCCTGAGCTTCAATCTAGACGTTACATTGCACCTTCCAGCTTCTTCCAGATTCATTTAACAACTGAAGAAATGTTCCAGCGGAATATAGGCAGCTGCTCGTGCTCTATTGATTAATTTAAAGGGATTTTTTCAGTTAAAAGAACTGCTTTACAATGTATTATTGACCTGGTAGATTGATTATGTTTGTAATAATATCTTCGTAATGCAGCTAAACTCCTCAATTTGGAATCAGCAACACTCAGCTCAGGAAATCCAGAATGGAAAACGCGTGAAGCAGGCCACGATGTAACCGTTTTTGATAAGCGTTTCAAATGAGTTAATGTTTTTGGATAAACTCTTAAAAAAAATTTTTCTAAATATTAAAATATATATAGACGACTATATTAAAAATATCAAGGCTGTCAATCAGCCTTACCCCTTTTCCCTCACTTTTTTTACTTTCCTGTCCCAAACTCAAAGCTTCCAAGGTCTGGATGTATGCCACAAATCATTAAATTAAAAAAAAAAAATCTGCATTGTACATTAAACATAATGTGGACAGCAAGCAACGTCCCTGCAGAAGAAATGAATAGATCACAAAGCCCTATTCTATTAGTCTGTGTCTCCATATTGTTGAACATGGTTCTCACAAACTCAGCGGCCGTTAATCCCACTAGGGTGGGTGCATTTACTGGCCTCTTCTGGCACCATAACCACTAGTTATTTTTATGGTGTAGTAGTGGTTATGGTACTTGTAGCATTGTAGAAAGCGACTGAAGTGTGATGTGACAAAGCATTAGTTTAGCCTAAGGTTGGTTAATTTGTTGGTAGTCGCCCCCTCCCCGAGACCAAATAAAGCCAGTTCTCCCGTGATCACGTCAGGACACGTT